TGGATGCAGAAACACTCGTCAGATTATGTAGCTATGAATCATGCAAATAACTTAGTGATCCAAGTTTTGTGCGATTCCTTTTCAGAGCTGGTTACAATTTAGTCCTAACGAATTAAGGGCCTTTAAACATCACAGCAGCTGAGAACATTTACGCCTCCGTTTCCTTTTGGAACCAATATTCAGGTGTGTTATGCTGTTTTTTGATCGGTTTCCGTCACTGAGGAACAAACCACTCAAACAACTGGCTGCAAATATGAACATCTTAAGTTTGAGGCTTTGAGACAACCAGTTAGTATCACTGGTGTCACGCAATTCAGTGTTGAATAAACTGAGAACGGGTTATGGTGTACTTTTGATATGGTGGATGCCCTTATACAATCATGAACAAATCTTCTGTGATGTGATTCATGGTTTTCTCATAAACTGTATGTAAAAATGGACATAGTGGCCGTCACATCACACATTGGTTTGTGGATTACTGCTTTGAAACCTCAAGTTTTAAAACTGGGTGTCGTCATCTTGGTCTTTTGAAACCAGACATATTGAACAAGCGTGGGTCTGTCTGAGTCCTCGAGGACACTGCGCATGCCAATACATCAACTTTGAATCATAGTCAAACATCAGTTACAAGGTAGCCTAAACATGCTTTGATTGATCTAAATGGAAACTTCATTTATAGAATTGAAATCATGTTATATTTAAAAAAGACTTAAGACTTGCAATTGACTCCATAAAGTCATTGGGAAAATATTTACTGCGGTAGCAAATCAAGAAAGAAGTAGGGTCCTTTTCTCATAGACTTCTATAAAATTGAACGTCTTTTTGATACCAGAGGAGTCGCCCCCTGCTGTCTGCAACAAGGAATGCGGGTTTAAGGCATTTCGACGTTGGCTTCACTTTCCAGACCTGGAGACTACATCTATCTGTTATAGACAGTCTATGACATAGAGGTGGAGCCTCTCTGAGTTACACTTGAAGCGCCAATTCTTTTAGTTATGCATAACTTTAAGCCCTGATACAATTTAAACAAGTGAGTTACATAAAAATGTTCCTGTCTGAGGAAATTAGTTAGAGAGATGAAAACCATTTTGTCTGTGAACATATTCTGTAGTAAAGTTGTACATTTTAACATGGGGGGTTTTTCGGGGATTGACTCGCTTTTGGAAGCAGCCTCTACTGGTAATTCAGGGTGCTTCAGTTTTTGTCACTTCTGTATTGGCTTCATTTTTCTGCCCTGGAGGCTACGGCTTGTAATAAAGGTAGTAACATTTTAAGAACAGTAATAATAAATTAATAAGTACGACATACATTATATTCATATTCATAGGTGGTGTTAAATACACAGAAATTTAGCATAGTACCTAAAATAGGCATAATATGTTTAAAGAGTTCCACCTTCATGTTTTGTAATGATTTTTTAGGCTCAACATCCAGATGTGTTGTGGTTTCTTTGTACAGACTAAGCTATATGTTATATTCCTGCAGCTACCCGATCCCTGTAGATCTATGCATACAGCATCTATGATGTTCAAGAGCTGTGAAATATGATGGAATGAAACATTATACAGTCAACCATTATCACCTGGTGCTTTAGGTGGAAGCAGTTAAATGACACTATCATTTTCCTGGCTTTATTGTCCTTGTTGTCTTCTTTTTGTAGTTTGCTGGGAAATATGTGGCCAAGGTCACTCACACAAGCATCATCCGTCGAAGACTTGTTTGACAAAGTGGTGCCGTTTCGGTAGAGTAAACAGGGTTATTATAAAGCTCCGGTGGACTGGATACCACATTGAGAGGGTGGCACCAGACATGTTGCTATGGAAACAAGGACTGATTCACGGGTTGGGGGTCTTAAGAAGCTCGGGAACATGTGATTTTTACAAAGGCAGTGAGTGATAAGTGTCCAAGTTCAACCTGCGCTCTGTGTTGGTGGAGAGCAGGAGTGTTTCTGGCCAACCAGTGAAGTTCAGTTTGTTGTTGGAACAACATGAAGGCAATCTGTGATGTTGGAAAAAGAACCTGCTGCCAATAATCTGCACTCCCACTTTGAGACAGTGGAGAAAATTGATTGCTCACACTTTTTCAAGACATTGTGAAACATGCAGGAGATGCTGCACCGAGTGATTGCAGATAGACGCACATCAATTGTGCCCACATGAGTAAGGATGTTTGAAAGTTCCCAGAAAGAAACATGAGCAGATTTTTAATGTCAGAAGCCTTGGCACTATATAGGCGCTGCACAGAGGCTGCTCTATGTGAAGCAGTGCTTGTGTGTCAGATGAGAACCACACATGGCTGGAAGTGCCTCGGATTGTCAGGGAGAGGGAAGCTTGGATTCATCTAAGGTGCTAAAAACAAAATCTGTTTTTCTATATGCAGTCTTCCACTGTACCTTTTCTTCGTCATTTAATGCGTACACCGTAATAAGCCTCACATTAGTGTAGGCAGACATGGGAGTAATTGTATAGCACAGTGTTACACATGTCATTCAATCTTAAGAAACCGCAGCCTGTTTGTAACATTAGTCATCAAGATAAACGTTTTCATGCACCCAGGGCTACAAATGAGGACACCAAGGTCACGTCCTTTGTGTTGTTTATGGAGATTTGCAACATTAAATGACGTGAATGACATTTACATTACGCAATAATTACAGAGAAGTGGGAGATAGCGATTGTTTCAACGTCACACTGCTTGTTTTTTGGTTTTTTTGGAGCATTACATGAATAGAGTCACAACACCAGATTAAAATGCATGATATTGTTGATATAAATGGTTAAAAAGTGGTTTAGTGGTTGCAAGTAGCAAAGTACATTTACTCAAGTTCTGTACTCGAGTACTGTTGCTTTATATTTCTGCTCCACTACAACTCAGAGGCAAATATTGCTGTTTTTACTCCACAACATTCATTAGATAAATTTAATACATAATATAGTTAACAAATAAATGATAGTGTGATATTATAGGTAGAGATTTAAAAAAATATTGATCCCCAAGGGGAAATTCTCAAGCACCAGACAGACGATATAAAGTCATTAAATCACCTCCAGCAGCTCTGACTTTAAAGTGATGAACACAATAATGCATCAACCATCATAATCCAATAATATACCTTCTTCCAAATAATGAGTGCTTTGATTTTGATTCTAATCCTTTATCTTACGTAAAAAAATGTACATGCATGACTTTTACTTGCGACACAGTATTTCTACACTGTGGTAGTTTTGAGCAAGCACAAGATCTTTTTTCACTTTGGTTAAAACCACAACACGGTTGCTTGAAAAGGCACTTCTCATTGGACCAGGACGTTGCAGTCTCTCCACAATGCAAGCATTTATATATTTTTTACTGTTTCAAAACAAGACCTTAGATGACTGTTGTTCTTTCCCCCTATGAGTGACAATAATAGAAAAACAAGCACAGAAGACGGTGCTTAGAGTGATCCTGTGCAGAATCGCTTTGAATAAAACAATAACAGACAAGTCTAATACAAGCCTTGTTTCCTCTTTCTGAGAATCATCCCCTTCAGTATTACCAACACTCTCCGCTGACAGCGAGCACCAAATGTCACTAAATCTTACAGATGATATATTGTAAACACCCCGACGCTCGTTTAGCATATCTCGACACACTGTCGAAGCTGCTGATAAACTCTGATCCTGACGAGAATAGCTCGGCGTCCATGTTTTTTTAAAAAGGCATTTCACTGCAAAATTTAAGCCGATAGTTTCTCTCACTGTGAGGAAATGGAGAGAGTGCCAGAGCAGGCGAGGAGGGGAAACAAAGATTTCTTGTCACTTCCTCACTTTACTCTATGGCATTTTTGTGTTGTGAGTACGTGTGTGTGTGTGCTTGAGTTACTAATGTTACGGGGACATAGATCTGTTTACATTGTCACATTGTGAGGACTGACCGCCCCAAAACACTAAACTTTATATTGCAAATCATTCAAATTTAAGGTGAAATCTTATGTGATTGTTAGGGGCAAGTAGTGGTTCTAGTTAGTCTCCAGGAAATGAACACGAGTCAATGCGATGTCCTCTGAAGTGATGGAAACACGACTGTCTGTGTGTGTCGAGCTTTTTCTGGTAGCTGCTCTGCACCACTGCACCTGCTCTTTAGGCTGCAAGCACGAGAGAGGAGATGCATGTGAAAAAGCTAGACAGGAAGAAGCCTCATACCTTATTGAGAACGACAAAAGGTTTCAGCTCGAGTTGATTGACGTCAGTTTGGTCAAAGACGGGGCACGGGTGACAAATGATGACAGAAAGTGGCTGATCTGTTCCTTAAACGACATCCAGTTCGTGGGGTAAGTCGCTGTCAAAACTTAAAGCGATGAATTCTATTAGGCCTTAGAAACAAAAAAAAGGGAAGCACTCTGCTTTTTAGTCTGTAGCACAAAGCCGTTGTCTGTAAGTGACTTTTAACCTCTTGAGGTAGTGAAAATAATCACTTCCATGCTTAAATGCAATGCCTGTAGATATTAACAAAGGCTGTGTTGTTGTTGCTTTTAGATGCTTTTAAATGCTGGTGCAGAAGTAAACTGCAAAGCTGTGAGCCTATGTTAGGTTGAGAGACACTTAATTTTTTTGTATGCTGGCACACTGTCAGTAAGCCAGGAAGGCCCCCTCCCCTTTGTTAATACTGTCTATTGTGAGCGTGTGCAGGGTGGATGTGGCGAGCATTAAGTTTGCTATGGAACTATTTAGGGAAACTTTGGAACGGAAAGTGTTTAAAGGAAAGAATAATAACGAGACAAAACAGAAAACAGAGGTACAAGGCATTACTCAACAATAAAACGCACGTCAGACCTGCTTGCTGCTTTATTGTTGGAGTTCAATACTTGTTTATCAAAGCTATTCTCCCCCACAGAGTGTTTTCTAGATACTCACCGACAAGCTACTGTGGGCTGAATATAAAGCTGTCGATTTAGGTGATTGTAGTGCAGGTGAACGATGAGGAAGATGATGTTTCTTTCTCTTTTTTTTTTTTCTATGCAGGTGGCAAGTGGAGGAGACCAAAACGGAGGCTGCAGGCACTGAAGAGTGCAAACGAACGGCTGCCATGTTAGACAAGTCGATACAGACAGGACCTCTCCAACACAGAGGGCAGAGAGTCGGGCTCCAGTGATGATCCTCTCATCCTCACGCCACAGGAAGGAGCACCCCGCGACTGGAGTACCACCCAACCACACATCTGCACACCTGGATGGACCCGTGCAGCAAGCAACAGCTGCATTTTCTCCTCTGTCTTCATCATTCACACTCAAGAAACTCATTGACAACACGCGGCGTCTCGCAGGGGCCTCTATGAGAGCCTCGAGGGTTGAGAAGGTTCACCAGTCTTAAGTGGTGTGAATGAGGACTACATTTGTTGCTTTCACTCAGCTGGATTTTTCATCTTCGTGCACAGTGTTCCCGCTTCACACCAGCACCATAGAGACCAGGACAGAAATTTAACTGGGAGAGCAGAAAGCTCTGGAACACATTGGAGAAAACGTCACCGGACCGGAGTCAGTTTCTCAAGCACCATGCAGTCAGATGACCTCTTCATCCGCAAGTTTCGCCGTCAGAATGTGCGGCCGCCAATCGCCACCGTTAACTTTGACCCCAAGCGGGAGGCCGGTGTGGTGGAGTGGCCCCCCAGGAGGGACGGCGACGGAGCCGAAGCGGACAGCCTCACTCCGAGCCGGGTGGGGCTGAACCTGCGGGGCATGGGCCGGGGCCACATCATGCAGAGGAGCAACAGCGATGTAACCTTAGGAGACCTGGACTCCTCTGGGAAGGCAGGGGGGAAAGCAGCTCGGGTGGTGGGTGAGAAGGTGGGTGCGGGCGCTCAGGGGGACTCAGGGGTGCTGCTACACAGGGAATACGGCAGCTTGTCGTCGCTGGAAAGACAAACTCAAGCTCAGGAGCCGAGCGCAGATGACCAGGGGCCCCTGAGCCCCAATGCCCTCCGCTTCAAAGACCCTTTCCTGCTTTTAGGACTTCAGGGCAACCCTCCAGAGCCTGACGGATTCTTCAGGGGTCTGTCCGTTTCAGGAGACTCCCCAAAACCTGCGAAGCCTCCGAAACCTGACAGTCTTATTAAAAAGTCCAAACCTGTCCCCCCTCAGATCCCTCAACCAGGTCCGTACGACAACATCGGGGGCGGAGCCTGGGTGAGGAACTTTGCCCACTATGACGTTCAGAGCATCCTCTTTGACCTCACCGAGGCGGCCACAAACAGAGACAGCATTGGACGGAAAAAGAATATCACCTCAGGGGCTTCGGCTGCCTCCCAGCTGCGCCCCCTCCCCCAGTCCACCCCTTCCTCACCTGCACAGGGCGGAGGAGGCAACGGGGCCAATGCAGATGACCCCGAGCAGTCGCTGCTGCTGGATGAAGGCGACGGCAATGATAATGAGCTCCTCCTCAGCTGCCCGCACTTCCGAAACGAGACAGGGGGAGACGAGCAGGTGGGTCTGGGTCGGTCCCAGGGCAGACGGGGACTGTGGTCAAGCCTGCGGACCCCCAACGATGCCGTTTCGGTGCTGGAGGAGCCCAGAGAGAGTCACGTCCAGCTCCAGGGCAAGAGCAACTACTTTATAGAGCATGCCGACCTGGGAGCCCATTACTATCGCAAATATTTCTACATGAAAGGTAGGCGCCACACTGCAGTGTCATGGAGGTCAACTGTAACTTTGGGTGATTTCATTTCTGCTGAGTGAGTGAAGAGAACAGTAGCAGAGAGATAAAAATCAATTACTTTAAGTAAATGAAGGTGCTAATGAATCTAAGACACTTTTTTTTTTTTTTACACATTGCTATTGTCTCTTATCTTGTCATTTAGGGACTTAGTGATAATCATTAGTGTGGAGCAGGAAGGGAAAAAAAGTGGGAGAGTTATGTATTTTTAATTCTAAAGGGAGAGTAGGAAGGCTCTTTAAATTTTTAGCCAAGGTTTATATATTAATTTAGCCTTTCCTTGTGAAATTTCACTGTACAAAAACTAGCTGTGTGTGTGCTGTGGATAACAAACATGCTTTTTGGCCATGTCCACCGGACACTGCCTCTGTTGTAGGGCTTTATTTTTCTCACCAAAATTGGCATCAGTTCTTCCTGGGTAACTGAGTTGGTGGCTGTGATAAACATTTCTTTAACAGCTTTTTAATTTAACTTCATCATGGCTATGTCTTTCACTATCTTGTTGTATTTGAAACAAATGCAGTATATTGTTTTTACTCTACAATACTCCTGAGAAAGGTCTTGCTTTATTTAAAAATACAATCAAATATAAGATGTAATTCCACTTTGCACCCTAATAACTTTTGTACAATCCCTTGCAAGCCTCATATTTCAACCCCGACATGCTCACACAATTTCAATTATTATTTCTCACTATATATATATATTTGGCTGTAATTTCCTCACAGAACACCAGAACTTCTTTGGAATGGATGATCGCCTCGGTCCAGTGGCCATCAGTTTCCGTCGAGAGGAGAAGGAAGGAACCAGCGGAGCTCAGTACAATTACAGAATCATCTTTCGCACCACAGAGGTAAAACCGGCACTTTTCTCTCTTCAAAGCTCTCCTCAGGTTCAGCGCATGAGAAATGGATTTGACTGGATGTGTTGAATGTGAATCCTGTACCTCAGATGAAGACGCTGCGAGGTTCCATCCTGGAGGAGTCGGTGCCCTCTGCTGCCCGTCACACGACCCCCAGAGGATTGTCTCCCAAGAGGCTGCTGGAGTTCATCATGCCTGAACTAAACCTGCACTGTCTTCGCCTGGCCTCCAACTCCCCCAAGGTCCGGGACACCCTACTGAAGCTGGATGAGCAGGGGGTGAGTAGTGCTACATCTGCGATATTAAAGACTGTCGCTTGTGTCGGGATACTGAACGGTGACAAATAGCATCAGAAAGCTCTTTTTCAAAGGTCAGGCCGGAGTGTCCAGCGCATTTATTTGTTGAAAAATTGACATTTACAGTCTACACCTGCTGTCCACAGCGATCTATCAGGTGTGTTTAGGTGTGAAAGCAAAGTTATTACAGCTACCTCTGCCACCATGTTGACTGTTCAGTCACCCTGTAGGACTGCAGCTAATTTAGTCCCATAAAAACAATAATTACAATAATTTCTCACTTTATTGTTCTTCACTCATTGAAAGTAATAGCCATTTCTGTTATGTGTTTTTGTGCTTTTTCTCTGATATCTCTTGTGTAATTTTTTACTGACTTAAATTAATTTTAAATTTGATTTCAGTTTTTTCCACTAACAATTAATTCGTTCATCCAAATGTTCAACATAATGACATAATACTGAGATCAAATGACATGAAAGAAGCCAGCAAGTCTTTAAGCATAAGACCAACAAATGGCCCAAACATTTAATTAATCAGACTCTAAGATTATCCAAGATTATTTTTGTTAACTGCTGGATAGTTTATTTACTGTCACCATGGGGGAAATCTTTATTTTTATTACAGTGCAGGGGCTATTATTCATATTTTAGTATACTCAGTGTACTGTTGGAAACTCCCAGCTCCACCTTCAAGGTTTTCCATCCATTAGATATAAATGCTTTATCGTGTAGAGTCGAGTTAGAGGTCTATCACAGCTGACACAGGGTGAGAGGTTGGATTACACCCTGGACGAGGCCTAACACAAAGAGACAAACACCGTTCACACTCACATTTACACCTACAGCCAGTTCACCTGCCGTGCATGTGGTGGGTGAATTGGCTGTAGGAAGCCATAGCACCCAAGAAAAAACCCCACAGAGAAACAGGGCGATCATGCAAAGTCCACACAGAATGGCCCCATCAAACCAACCAGCCCTTACACTTCTTGCTGCGAGGCAACCGTCCTAACCTCCTTTGAGGTTAACCAGTTTAAAAAAGGAACAACTAAATAAGCTGTCTTGTGTGCTTGTGTGAACCTTGTTGACATTCAGCGGTTGGAACTTGCGTAGAAATGTGCAAATAACCTTTCTGAAGTGTGAAGTAAGCTGTCAAATTAGAAAACTAAATGGTTTTTCTATTTAAGTAGTTAACAATTTGAATAAAAAAATGTGATATAAATGCAAATTGTGCTATAAATTCCATGTTCCTCTGTCTTCCATTGTAGCTGAACTTTCAGCGAAAGGTCGGGGTGATGTACTGCCGGGCCGGCCAGAGCTCAGAGGAGGACATGTACAACAACGAGAGCTCCGGACCAGCGTTTGAGGAGTTCCTGGATCTGCTCGGGGAGCGGGTGCGGCTGAAGGGCTGGGAAAAATACCGAGCTCAGCTGGACAACAAGAGTGAGCTGAAAACATGCACTACACGCCGGATCTATTGGCTGCATCTCACCTTGTCGCAGTACCATTATCCGAAGGGCATCAGTGCACCACTGAAAGCCTAAGATAACTCCTATCTCGCCACATGTAATCTGAGTAATGCCTGCAAAATAGCATAGTCACTGCTGATTATCTCCGAGCTGTTTTCCCTTCAGTGAGCAGCAGAGAACGGCAAATGGGACAGATTTCAGCCTGGCTGTGACAGTTTGAGTTCAGTTTTTCACTCAGAGACATGGACTGATTTCGCTAAATCTCTACCTGTCTGTCTCTTTGTGTGACGTGTGTGTTTTCTGCAGCGGATTCAACTGGAACACATTCCCTCTACACGCGCTACCAGGACTACGAGATTATGTTTCATGTGTCCACCATGCTGCCCTACACAGCCAACAACACACAGCAGGTAAAACAAACCTCAACCCAACCCACAGCACATATAGCTTTCCTTCCCTTTGTGTTGCAGGACCGTTTTTTTTCTTCAACTTCATCCCTTGAAGTTCACAGTATTACAATTCCCCTCAAATGTTCCTTCTCTGTTCTTCAAAAGATTGCATCAGACTCAGCACAACCTTCACTAGCCATCTCTGTTCAGACTGTCATGCTTTGGTAAAAGCTTTAGAAAAAGCTTCTGTGCTCTGCAACAAGCATGACATAAAAATCCTGCCCCCCAGTGTTCACTCCCACCATAAAGGTATTCAGCGCCGCCTCACAGGCAGCCTTCCCGTTCAGCTGGCTGTCACGTCTTAATGTGCCGTCTGTGCTTTAAGCCTGTTTTCTGTCATTTACAAAGAAACTGGACATGACATACTAATATAGATTAAAGGTTTACATAAAACAAAACATGGTAGTGACAAAGCCCTGAAATGCCTCTTTAAACCGTCTGCTCTTTAGGCAGCAGCGGTTTGAGTTTCAGTGGTTTTAGTTACATAATCTGTTCTTAAGTCTGTCTTGTGCTTTTTTTCCCATCTAGATTCATTTTTGGCTTCTTTTTTTTTTTATTTTGAAGGAAGTGCTATTTTTCAAGTCGTAAAAATTTCCTGTTACATAATCAATGAAGTCAAAGTTACAAGACACAAGAGTGTTTACATTTCACAAATTAGCTATGATTTCAATTAACATTATAGTTGTGTTTTTGAAAAATAATTTTGTTTGTCATTTTATTTTTTGGCATTTATTTGAATCTTGGGCAACAGCTACTGTCTCTGAGATCTGCATTGAAAGAACATAAGCATAATTACCAAATGTTTAAACTTAAGCTACAGTTCCATAAAATCAACAAGTCATCAGTATAAGCTGATAAAGGCTTTAAATTCATTGTCAACGTGGACCCAAACTTACTATTTACAGACAAATAATGTCTGTTTAGTTTGAAAATGTTACACAAAAATAAAGCTGCCACATGTAAATTGAAGTGGTTTTCTTATTTGGCCAGAGAATGTGTACATTTGAAAAGCATTGTACACTTCCAATGGCCCAGTGGCATCCGCCACTGGGCCATTGGAAGTGTAGGTGTTAGAATATGTTAATTCCACTACAGGAGAGACCTGATGTTTTCTGCAGTTACGTGAAAAAAATATGAGCAAATATCTGTGTCGGCATCAGCCAGAATGAAATGGAAAATATCGGCATATTGGATATCAGCAAAAATCCAATATTGTTCATCCCTTGTAAACAATATAGTTAAAACTTTGCCAATGCATTCAGCAGTAATTACATGGAAACGGGCGTGTGGGCAGGGTAATTGATACAAATGCAGTAATCATAAAGTATAAAGCTTAGAAAACTGTTTTAGTGGAGAACAAAAGACTCAGGAATATGTGCTGGCATCTCTTTATCAACCAAACGTTTGTGCATGACACATGTTTTAGTATTTTAGGGTTAAAGTAACTGAAGTGACTGAAACACAATGAAAATCTTAAAAATGCTGCATCACCTGCTCCATGTGATCAGGATTTAGGAAACACAGTTGGATTATTCTATCGAAACTCATCGGGGGCTTGATGATCAGATGTGTCTCGTTGTGCTCTGTGGTTTTACTCTGATGCCGGCTAGTTTAATTAATCTCTATGTTTCTGTTTTGTCCCGTCAGCTGCTGAGGAAGCGACACATAGGTAACGACATCGTGACGATCGTGTTCCAGGAGCCCGGCGCGCTGCCCTTCACTCCAAAGTCCATCCGCTCCCATTTCCAACATGTCTTCATTATCGTTCAGGTTCATGAGCCCTGCACTGACAACACCTATTACAGGTCTGACTTCATCCTATCTAATATTCTACCACTATTACCGCTACGTTGATGCTCAGGAATTTAATGAAAGATCAATGCATCTTTTCACCTTCCAAGGAGCCTTTACCCTTCTGTATAAGCTGAAATATCTCCAGACAATGAAGTCCAGCCTGTGTGATGTATGACAAGTTGTGAGGTGAAATAAGTGATCACAAAGATTTGAGGAAAAGACATAAAAATAGACTATTTTAATCTCCATATGCTTTACAATATATGCTTGTAAATCAGTGTGAACACAGATGTTATTACAGGTGTTACGGCCACAACTTGGTTGTTTCTGGCAGCTTGGGAGGAAATCTGTGCACTGCTGCAGAGTATCTCCTGCACTGAAAACAAGACATAGATTGAATGTTCCTGCTGTGGCCTCTTTCTCACTCTGTCCCCTTTGTTTTTGCTCTCTCCCTCTCAGGGTGGCTGTGACACGCTCTAAAGACATCCCATTATTTGGCCCTCTGTTCCCTAAGGGCGCCCGCTTCCCTCGCTCGCCGGCCTTCAGAGACTTCCTCCTGGCAAAAGCTGTGAACGCTGAAAACGCCGCGGAGAAGTCGGAGAAGTTCCGCTCCATGGCCACGCGCACGAGGCAGGAGTACCTGAAGGACCTGGCGGAGAACTACGTGACCACCACGCCCATCGACTCCTCCACCAAGTTCCCCCTGCTCTCTCTGGGCGGCAAGCGCAAAGACAAGCTGAAGGGCGCCAAGGGGGCCGAGCTGCACAGTGCCGGGGCGCTGGTGTGGGCCGTGATGGTCAACTGCAGAGATGAGTGGGAGGCAGGAGAGCACAAACTCCCCTGTCTTCTCGGGGTGTCGGCCGAGTCGGTGGTGCTCATCGAGAGGTGCACTCGCAGGGTGGTGTTCAACTGCTCCTGCAGGGACGTCATCGGCTGGAAGGCGGTGACGGAGACTAAAGAGGGGGGACCCTGCTTGGATATCTTCTACGAGCGAGGGGAGTCGGTGTCGATCACGGTGATGGAGAGCCAGGCGGAGGACATACGAGAAGTGGTGCAGAGGCTGGAGGTAGGTGACCGTGGCCTGAAATTTTGCACAAGGCTGGTGAATGTGTTTCTGATTCCTTCCTTCATCCGGATGTGCTCTTCTGCAGCTGGTGACGAGGGGCTGCGAGGCGCTGGAGGTCACCCCTCTGCGTGACGGAGTCGGGCAGCCGGGCTTCCTGATGAACGAGGAGGGTTTCGTGACGGAGCTGCAGCGGTTCTGCTACGCCGAGAGCGGAGGCCTGCAGCTGTGGGCTCGCGTGGTGCGGCTCTGCGGACACTCGTTGGTTCACCTGAGCCCCGAGGAGAGGACCAGGCTGCTCCGCACTGCGCACAAGATCCACATCACTGTCATCCCGCCGGACGAGAACGGGAAGCCTCGCAGGTGGGTCAGGCTTCAGATTAGGGGGAGGAGAAGTGGCTCACTTGGTATAAAGCAAAACAGAGAGGTGGTGGGTGTTCACAACAAGACACTCAGGGGTCACTGTTTTGTTGATGCTGCCATCGGTGTCACACCAGCTGGCTAACAACCAATCAATCCCTCTAATGATCTTTAATCACACTGACACAGGCTGCTTTTCATTCAGCTAAAATCTGCAGAAATAGCTGTGGACAGAGTTGTTAACATTAAACCAGCCACCTCTGCAGCTCTCAGTTAACTCAAAAAACATTTCAAAGCCGGCAGCAGAAGTATCCTCAGAGAACCCCCCTGCTTTATTTATATTTCAGCGCTGAAATGCTTGTTCAGTGACAACAAAGCACAAATTGTCTCAAAGATGTCATAATTCGTGAGGGGAAAATGGAGGCTCTGTGATTTCAAAGCAGTGTAATAGAAGCTTAGACAAATGCTGCGCTTTTTTTTTCTTCCCATCTCATCATTGTTTTTGGCTTCTTCTAGATTAATTTATGACTCATGGTGCAACAAAAAAACAGAGGCGTGATGGTTTTATTCCAACAGAGTATGTTGTTTGTTGTGCAGAAGTTTCTCTGAGCTGTACCTGAAAGCCATCAAGGACGCGGAGTGCAAGCCGGGCGAGGATCAGTCCGGAGAGGCCTGGGTGCTGGATGAGAGGGAAGAAGAGGAGGAGGAGGAGGAAGAGGAGGAGGCCAGGGAGGACGAGCAGAAGGCAGGCGGGGTCGATGAGGCGGACACGACGGAGGTGCAGGTGGACGCCGAAGAGGGCGAAGAGCAGCCGTGTGACAAAGGGCAAAGCGACAGAGGTCAGGGATCGCTCCTCACGCCGCCCAGCTTACCTTTGCTACGGGCCACTTCTCTGCAGGACCAATCAGCCAATCAGAGCCAGGAGGGCAGCACCTCGCAGCTCACACGCAGCCTCTCTCTGGAGCGACAGCCGTCCTACAGCGACACGTGCGACGGGTGAGTTGCCGGAGCTGACATCAGTGTTCAATGAAGCGAGTCTGATGGAGAAAAACATAATAAAAACAACAAGGGACGCTGCTGGTTTGAGGCTGTTTAGATACACTGAGCTGCTGATGCAACACAATTCAATCTCAGTCTGTGCATCACTTTTTATTTCTTGAAAAGGACGAGGTGGGCAGGAAGGACACCGAGGACTGTGTCACTGTTTTGGCACTGCAGTGTGTAAACTTCGTGTCTCACATTGGAGACTCACTTTGATGATCCTCTTTCAGTTTTATTGCTTTTTCCATCAATGGGGAAGTAACTAAGTACATTTAGTGTCAATTTGACTGTTCATACTTCGATTACATATTATACTTTTTACTCCACTACATTTAACTGAAAGTCTTAGGTACTGGTTACTTTACAAATTAAGATTTTACATTCAAACATGTGACATTTTGTAAAAAAAAATAACAATGATAATATATAATTTAGGCTTAAACTACTTGTTGATTGATTAATTAGTTGATTTGTCAGATAAGACTTCATTAAATGCTTTGGTATCTAGTAAATAGTTGTCATGATTTGCTGATTTTGTTAAACTACAGAGAACTGAATAATCTAACGTCCTGTTAGTTGGACCAAACAAGACATTTGAAGATACACACAATTAGCACAATAATCCGTAACAATAATAACCGTTAGATTTAGCCCTACATAAGCCTCAAACAACAAGACTCCTGCTGAAAGCATAAGACACATAAAGGGGCCATTTTTTCAGCAGGGAGTATGTTTGCTTTTGAGCACTGAAGTACATTTTGCTATAATGCATAAGTACAGTTTAATAGAGGGTGTTTTAGTTGAAATGACTTGTAATAGTGCTTCGGGAATGAAACTGAAAGCCCCGTCCACCACTTCTTTTTCTCTAACAGGAAATGGTTTGGTTGATTGAACAGAATGTCGTCAACTGTTCCATAGTAGACAAAAAAAGTTTAAGTGAAAATGGATTCAGCTTTGTTGCTGTTTCAGAACCATAATGACTGACGGGTTGTTTTTAAAGAAAAGGTTACCTACTTAATGGTCTGCACTGTAGGGATTGTTCCAGTGATAATTTTCATTGCCAATCAACTGGCTGATTATTTTCTTGATTGATCAATTAGTTGTTTGGTTTGTAAAATGTCAGAAAGTGGCGATAAAGGTCAATTAATGTCTTACTTGGACCACAATCAAAGATATTCAGTTTCCTGTCATAGAGGAGGAAAGAAACCAGAAAATATTCAATTTTGAGAAAAACAAAGCCTTTATTGTTTTTGTTTTTTTCAAACCAGTTAGTTCAGTATCATAATAGCAAACCATTACTTTAAAAATTCCAAACAAATCAATTAATTGCTGCAGCTCTACTGCGCCGTGCATTATTTCAACTTCCTTTTAAGCATCAAGGTCCTCGTCTGACAGTCCTGTCAGTCACAGCAGTGTCTCTATCTGTCAGCCAAATCACTTTCAGCACACTGGTCAGTTTGAGGAAGAAACCGTGCAAAAAAAGGAAACGTTCACGAGGGCTCATATTAAATTTTGCTGCCCACCAAATTGAATTTCACTTCTTTTTATCATCACACAAAGCAGAACTGAATGATTTGACTTGGACTGCATCACGTGCTGTTTTTGATAGATCATTTTGGGAGTGCAGGACAGCAAATGTCAATCAGGCCCCAAATCTAAGCCATACTGGAGATTACTTATCTGAGCGCTCCAATTTCTGATTTGACCTCTGGATTGGATTAAAAAAAAAGGCCACGAAGCTTCAATAGCAGATTTGCTCTGTGTTCTTTTTTTTTTTTTTGTCCCGTCCACCACATCTCACTCCATCTCCCCGATGAACAGGCATGTGTACGACAACGTGGGGGTGAAGGCGGACCGCCACATCTATGAGAACCTCGGGGAGCTGAGGGACGCCACACCTGATCTCATCCTGGCTGTCAAACCCAAGGTTCCCTTAGAGGACGAACAGGTGACAAACCGAGACACCAAGACAACTGAGTGGCTTTTCCACCAACGCTCCATCCCCCGTCTGACAGCGTTGTTCCCTCTTTATCCCCACCTCTGTCCTCTCTGCAGTTCATGGCGGCTGAGTTTGGCGATGACAAAGCTTCGGCGAGCGACTCCTCTCTCTCGTCCTCGCGGTTGTCGTGCGTGGATCGAGCTGAAAGAAATTCACGAGCTCTGAGTCTTCACAACTCCATCACAAAGAGTGAGTACTACCTTATTTCAGCTGATTTTTAACAATTCTATCATGAAATTCAAATACATGCATACAAATGCATTCATTGTAAATATGTTTAGGTCGTTTTCCTTAATAAAAACAATGATGGGAGTGTGGGAAATAGAAAAGTAGATATAGAAGTATTAATGAGGAGTCACAGAGATATTATGACCCCGATTATGGCCTCAAAACAAAGCTCCTTTCACAGACTCGGCAGCTGACACAACTGCTCAAATGATGCCAGAATGGAACAATTACACGTGTTTGCAAATCATTTCTGGCTGATTTGAGCCTCAAATTCCTTTTTCCAGATTTTTTTCCTGCCTTAAACCCCTCTTTTCATTATCCTCCCTCTAGTCCCCACTGCATCCCCTTTGTTCCTCCTCTTTCATCCACGCTGCCCCCTGTTCCGCTAATCTAATATCACCCCTGCTCTGCTGCCACCCCCTGCCAGGGCTGGGATAAAAAGGGGACAGATGGGTAGTGGGAGGGGTGGAGTTTTAGGCAGCCCCAAATCAAGGAACCCCTCTTACACCATCTGCTCGGCCTCCACTGAGACTATGAGACTCATCGTTTAGCCGCCATAAGAGCACACTTGCTCATCCTCTCATCAGATTCTTCTGATTTTTGTGGGGGCGGCTTCTGAGGCCTCTGATTGTTTTGCATCACATTCTTTCACAGGAGGTCTGTAGGTCTTTAAAAGCGACTCTTTTAACCGAGTAATGAAATTTAAGGGCCTCAAAAAGCAAAAACATCGTAAATGTCATGTTTAAATGTCATTTTGAAAATGTTCTTATTAAACTCGGACACAGTAATTTACCAAAACCTGATGATATCAGGCTCAATTTTCTTGCATCATGACTTTCATCTGCTCTGTTTTGATTGTGCTGCCATAAATTTCAACTAAACTGGTGTCAAAGATAATTCAGAAGGTCAGAAGTATACAGTGCACTGTGAACCTGCAGGCATGCTGTGTTCTCTGACCCAGAATCCAACCAGCATTAGCACAACAGTGTCCCCTAGTGGGGACTCTTTGTTACTGCAGAACCAGGGGGGTTATCTGGCTGTGAACAAAATCTGCAGTCCCTCTGTTCTCCTGTATTGTTGCAGATACACTGAGACACTGTTTCATTTGATAGTGTGATGCTGTGGGACACAACACTGCCTACTACATAAAAAAAAAAGCTGGCCTGGCTGCTCTGTCAGTGAGGGAGATCAGCATTTGTTTTTATTTATTTATGAGGCTATTTTACAATCTCTCAGCCCTGTTCTCCTGGAGTGTTAGTTTCCATTGTATTTCCTCACAGACATGCTTGAAAAATTCATGCCGAGTTAGGAGTCTGCTACATACTTGAAAAATCAGCAAACTTCACCTTATTAATACCACTGAGACAAGGCTGAATTGCTGCTCTTATTGATTGTAACTGTCTTTCTTTTTAAAAATTTGTTGTATTTATTTCTGCCATTGTTAATTCCAACAGTTATCTCCACTGTTTAATGTTGTATATATCTGATATAACCAGGTATTCTACCTTTATTACTATTTGATTTTAAGGTTGCAACTGCATGAATTATTTGTGCCTTGCCACCATTTCAAGTCAAATAAATGAATAATAAAGCCCGACTTCTTTCTCACAGTTCTCTCGGAGACCACGGATTCCACTGAGGAGGAGTGGCAGTCCATCGCTGACCTGGCCACAGCCTGCCGCAGCATCCTGGAGGCTTTGTCACGAGAGGGTGAGGAGCTGTTTACGTTTGCACACTTCACTGACTGCGTATTCACACGTGAATAATGCAACAGGCTGCTTTAGTGGTTAGTGCAGTCATAAACACAGAGAGAAGCCAGGGGCTGTTCATCTCAGGTTAAAAAGACTCACTTTATTTTGTAGTTTACCTTCTGGTAGTCTAACTGCATATGTGTTGTATGACCAAAAGTGTGCTGACGCCTCTCGTGGTGAAATATTGTGTTGATTGGGAGTAAATCCCAGCAGCCAGGTTTTAAAATCATAGAGATTAATAGCCACTGATTTGAAATGTTAAGGTGTCTGCATACTTCTGACCATGTAGCATATATAAGTGCAATAGATCTGCATTCTAAGGAAGAAAAGTTCTTTTAGGAAGCACCTTACTTGAATAACGGACAGCAATCAGTCTGTACAAAAACACACTCATGTGATTAAATGTTATCAGATACTAAGATTCATTTGAATGCAGTAGTTTTAATTATGACAGAGAAGCCTATCTCTGATCTTTTTTTGGTTCAGCCTCCTTATTACTTAATGTAAGTCCACATCAGATCAGTTGGTATGTGAACTGTTTGAGCAGATCTGTCCATCTTAAGCTACATAAATAAACTAAAAACATTTTTAAAATTAGTCAGAATTTACAGAGGATAGAAAACAAGTCAAAGTGTTTCTTATTGATGTCAGATAGTCAAACTGTACAGATGTTATTTTAAGTATCCACACATCTTTCACCAGGTTTTGTTGTTGTTAAATACTTTAAGTAGTAAATAAGTACGAAATTAAATTGGTTTGCAGTAATCTGAAGGTATTCAGCCTCTCTGATAAATGTCATCATCAACCACATAACGTGTATTCTGTAACGCAAACACCTTTGATACCAAACAAATATAATCTAAATCGCTTCAATCTAACTAAAATGATACGTTTCTATCAAACGTCATGTTGTTGAGTCAACATCTAAACCAGTCGGCTGGTAGTTTTGGTGAAAGCAACATATTTCCCATCATGCCTCGAAGCCACGCAGGCAGTTAAGAGCAACTGCGGTTCCAAAAACCGCTGCCGCCTTGATGTCATAATGGTGTCATTCCCTACATCATCATGACATCAGAGCAAGTCAGAATCAAGTCAGACAGAAGTCTAACCTCTTTCACTGTGCTCCGGTGAATGATTCTGATCTGACTCATCCTGAATGAGCCTAATGACTCCCATGTTCTGAGAAGTCCTCTCCCATCTCCGTCTCCTTCATATTTAATTTAGATTATTGTACATAGCTGTTTTAAATGATAATAATGTGGACGATGTTCCTCACAGATCGCAAAGCCGGAGACCCCTCCCAAGGAGGAGCAGACCAGACAGACGGCAAGCTGAAAGACCCAAAGGAGAGGTGGGTTGCTATAAAGTACATACACGGTTAGACAGCTCAATATCTGTGTAGGTAGTCTGAATCATTGCACACATGTTTTTTTTTTTTAACTCAATCAGGCCTGCTTCTTTATTCTCTCTCAATTATTTAGGCTTTATCGGCTACATCCAACTGTTTGAGTCAGTGTGATGGCTTCTCTCCCTCATAAAGAGAGGCCTCTTGCTGAGTCAGTGATGCACATATAAGCGATGTTTGCACAGTGTGTCGGACTCGCTGCTACGGCCATCTCTCTGTCCAACTGCAGCTCCAATCCATTTTATTTTTCATTTTACTCATCCTGTGCTTGCCTTATTTTCCTCCTGCTTGCTGCAACGCAAGTCCACAAGACTGTTGGCCAAAAGCAAAACATAAAGTGAGTCAGTAAAAAACAAGCAAACCCCCAATGTAAAGCTTTTTTTCACTCCACGTCTCCAAGTATGTACAAGTGCAGCGTATGTCCACCCACATGTTGTACAGGTCAGCACTGATTACTGTTTGTCTGTTAAAATGACATCGTGTGTAAAATGCTTATAATAGGTTAGGTTTACCGAAACAAAATTAGGAAACTGATTGGAAAAAGTGTGTCAAATAATGTGAAATGATGATCTGTGTAGAATGGACACGTGTTATATGAGTAAGCCGTAGTTTTCTAAAAATACAATAACTTGGTGTTTCTCAGTTTCGTCAAATTCAACCAAGCTGGTACAACTATATAACTGAGTAACATGAACTCTACAAAGTACCTGAGCTTTACTGAATCTCAACTTAAAAACACTTCATGCACCCCAGTTTAGGCGACTTGAAAACACATCAACTCACAATATGTGATTATGAAAAGCCTAGTTTGTCCTTTCCAAAATAACTTGTACACCATATTGACATTTTATGTCAGGGCTCCCCTGCCCCACATGCTGCATAGCTACAGGACTGCTGCAGTAATTAACATTTGAACAACAACTCTGTACATGAACGCTGGCCCGAAGTCATTAATCACTACAGGAGTCTCGGTCGCGGTGGTCTCGGCCTCACAAACGTCGGAAACAACATCACACATCGACAACAATCAAAGTCTGAAATAAATGAATGAATGATCGCAACACTGCTGAACATTAACAGTTTCGTGTGTGTTTGTGCTCGAAATGAGAAGCTGAATGTGGGCACAAAGCAAAGAGAACTCAAAATGAAAAGACGAGTATAAGTTAAGCTAAATGCAGTATTTAATTTGAGTGAGGTTTGTATGTACAGTGCGCCAGGACAGTTTATGGAGTTCATCATGAGTTGTTCACATGCATCTATGGATGTGAATTTACTGATCTGAATAATCTCACATCATGAGAAATAACAAAATTTTCTTTTGTTCAAAATTTTCAGCAGACTTATTCTTTCTGCTCACACATGCCAGGTTATATTTGGCGAACACGATGAAAAGCAAATTGCTAAAGTTTTTTCAAGAAACATTCTGATGATTTGTGAGTTTTAAAGGTCAAACCTGCAGCCACGTCGTGAAGCTTAAGAATAGATACCCAGACGCAAATCATTTAACAATAGCGCTATGTTTGCTTCACCAGGAGAACGCTTTTCCTTCGCTCTGTCGGGTATAGTCATTATATGTAACAGCAGTCAGACGAAATGCATCATGGGATGACTACATTCACTCAGAATGGGTGCGCTCATCAGACGCTGCAATTACTGTAAATTGATCTCGGAGTGTTATGGATTTCATTAAAGGCAGCAGGGACAGAGTCTGCAGCTCTGAGGCTGCCAGACTGACACACGGCTCCACAACCAATCAAGCAAATTGAAAAGTTCACTCAACCTGTGTGAGATGAAGGGAGGTGTTACTGCAGGAGAACTTCTACTTTCTAGGGATTGCTTTTGTTGATTTGATGGCTCAGAAGCCGGCGCGACCCGAACATTCTGGTTTACATTTATGCACTTTCTGATCACTGAACTGTAAAACATCTGTACTCGCTTTTGATGAAGTGTCACTGCCTCTCTTTGTTGCAGTGACTCTCCAGGCCACCTAGAAGAGAAGGTATCGCAGCTGGAGGCCATGCTGAAGAAGCTGCAGGATGACCTGCAAAAGGTGCTTTGACTTCCATGAATGTTTTTCTCTGTGGTAATATTTTCAGTGAGCTCCACCAGAGAGTCAGCAGGTAGGAGAAAGTATTCAAACTGCTGAGCGAGATAATTTCTATTTGTAGCCTTTTGTTTACTTGTGCATATCCTGTCATCCATGCAAACCATTTCAAGTCACAGTTGACACACTATGAAGATGAATTAAACACTCAAGAAGGCATTTATTTATTTATAATTTTGTGTACAGAAACATTTTTGGATTTTTTGCAATATTCCAGTATCATACTTTTTTTTTTTCTACATGTATTTATGACTTAAATGCTGTTATCTATACTTTGTTTCTGCACATTTGTGTCGCTCTGTTTATTTTTCATGTTGCTGCCACAGAATACTGTATGTGATGAACTCAAAGGCTGCTTGGACGAAAAACAATTCTCAACACAAAGTCCGCTTGTGTTTCCGGAGCTCTCAGCCGCACCTCATGGCCTTACTCAGTGGATGAAGTTACTCCCGCAAGAGGAGCTTGTGTTGAGGATTTTTTTTTGCCGATACTGTATATATGTCTCTGTGTGTACAAAAGCATGATATATTCTCCCAATTATATGGCAAGTTTTCTATTTTTAAGTCCTTGAATAGGACTGCAACTATAACTATTTTCACAATTGATTAATCTAATGAATATTTTTCTAAAATATCCAAAACATTTAGCGCTGAAACAATTAGTTGATTGACAGAAAAACTAATCGACTGAAATTTGGATTTGATTAAAACATGAGAATTTGCTGCTTTTCTCTGTTTTGTAACAAAACAAGCAATTTGACGACATCATGTTGGAATCTGGGAACTTGTGATCATGTTTCCATCTTTTGTTTTTATTATTATTATTATTATTTAGTAGCATTTTACAAATGAAGCAGTTGATTGAAAAATAATCGTCAGACTATTCAATCAAGAAAATAATTGTTAGTTGCAGCCCTATACCCATTGTAAGTAATTAGGTGCTTGGTTATCTGACCAGCCGCCCTTAAAGCACTGATTTTAATGAATAAATGATATGCAACAGTGAAAAGTCAGCAAATGTTTGGTTGTTTTTACCTGATAAATCACTAAAGCAAAAGCAATCGATTATGTCAAACAAATGATCAGTTCATTGACTAATTGTTTCTGCTGCCGTTTTTTTTGGATCGACTTTACTCTTCCTCACTGCCGTGTGATGTGCTTCTCTACACCGTCTGCGTCGTTTTATGTCACATGTGTTCATGTGTGCCCACGAATTTCCTTAAAGCCACCGCTGTACCTGTCGCTCTCCTCCCGTTCCTGCCACAGCGATCTGAGCGACAGCTTTTGTTTTGTTGTGTGCCGATGTCTTTCAGGAGAAAGAGGACAAGGCGGTGCTGCAGGCCGAGGTGCAGAGCCTCAGGCAGAACAACCAGCGGCTGCAGGAGGAGTCGCAGAGCACGGTGGCCCGCCTCATCAAAGTCACCGAGCTGCTGTGCAACGTCAACAAGCCCTGTTAGCTTCACGGCACAATTACGCAGAAATCCGCGGCATGATGCAAACCGTACAATGCGCTCCTGTACGCTCAACGCACTTGTTTTCTTCATACATATTTGCGAAAGTAAACACACACACACACACCTATCCTCTTCAACCTGTGTGTCAAGCACAGACTCTGTCCTGAATCCTGGACCTGCCTGCCTGCCGGTGAGGGAGTATGCAAATCAATTCATAAAAGAGAAAAACAAAAAAAAAACAGAAAGACATTTTCAGCATCCAGTGACGATCTCCACAGACTGACCAGCACAGGCTGCTGTGTTGCTATATGCCAGAGTGCTTCTCTTTGGTTGTGTGTATGATACAGTATGTGTGTGGATGTGCGTGTGTGTGTGTGTGTGTGTGCCGCATGTGTGCGTGTACCTTTGCTTCAAATACTTGACAAGCTGGGCTGAATAGCACTTGCATAAAAAAGTGGCAATTAAGACTGAGAGACACTGTATAGCATGTTTGGTGGTGTCTTATCCGAAAATGACCAAAAGTGTATATATACAGTATATCACCAATAATATATGTGAACAGTAGTATTGCTATCCTCCCTGCCAGACGTGTAGTTGCGATGTCTGAGTGTGGTTCTGCCTGGCGCTTGTAGTGTGGAAGGCCTCGATTTAAAAAAAAAAAAAAAGAAGGAAACATGACAATGAAGAGCCTGTAGGCAGCCTTCTACTTCAAAAGATGTAATGACGCTGACTGACTGGCCTCAGAGGAAGGTCCGTTACGTAAGGACGTCGTTGTTTGCCCTCTTCACTTCTCAGTAGTACTGTAATTTAAGAAATTCTGTTTTTAGGGAGAGACAGTGTAAAAAAAACAAACAAATGAATGGGAACTGGAAGGAAAAAAAAAAAGAATGGACTGAGCATGCCTGGACGTATGTTTGAAAAACAGTCTTAAAGGGATACTGAAAAAAGGGTTATACCTCTCCTGAAGACACAGACTCATGGCAGGAAAGAACTGCTCCAGCTTCCTTCCATGATTGCCTGTAGCTGTTATCTTCTAACCTCACTATTGTAGCAGCCATACTGTAGAAGATCTCCTCCTGCTGGCCTGATCCACAGAATGCCAAAAGGCAGCTTTTCTTTCAGCTGGCAAAATAGCTTTAGGTGTCTGAATAAAACACCTTGAACTAATAGTGAAATACAGAATATTGTATTTAGATATGTTTTGTGTTTGGCGGATGTCTTCGGTGACTATTTTGGGTAATTGTTTACTATGGCTTATGAGTGGTAGCGGTAAGGACAGTAGGTGAAATCTTACCATTCCCACCCCGGTGTGTGTTTGTGTGTGTTTCTGTGTAGTTCTTGCACTTTTTTTTGTTTTTTTCTTTCTTTTGTAAAATCAACACTGGACAGGGCACATACTGTACTTTATTCAGCCTGCCCAGGTTACGTATTACTCAACATAAGAAGGTGGATAAGATCTCGTCCCCCTAACGCCACCTTTACCTCACCTTTCTGTGTCCAGTGCCGGCGGCGCCAATAACAGTGTTCTCAGAGGAGTTGGACTGCTTCTCCTCAGTGCCAACAAATAAAAAAAGAAAAAAAAAAAAAAAGCCCAGGCAGCTCTCCTGAATCCCGCCGAAATCAAAACAGAACTGACCACAAACTAAAACTGCAAACTCTGAACTCAACACAAGAAGGGATGCCAAACGTTTGCCAGTCACTTAGACTCTGTTGTTTTCTTGTACAAAACTTCCTCTTGTAATTTTATTTTAGAGTCACTGTGAATACCTGGTACCAGCATATTAAGATACGGTATATACAGATTAAATTATGAATCTAAACTTTATCAGTATGTGAAGATACTGTATGTACAGCTGAACTGTTCCATGTTAGTGCATTGGGTCGTGTACGCCCTCCTTTTGCGGGATGATTATGCAGAACAATTGTCAATCGCGGCCGTGCGGGCTCCTGTTTCATCTCCTCCACACGCCGAAGCCTCATGACTCAACAGGGAGAGACGCTGGTGTGAGAAGACCTGTTTTACTGTGTCTTGTACAGTATAGTTATTTAGATTGTAGGAGGTTGGTCAAGCATGAGAATGTGCCAAGCAACTTCCGAGCTCCCCCTCTGTATGTGTGTATGTATAAAAATGTAACTTATTAATCATGCAAATGTGGATTTTCTTGTAGCTGTTTAAACTGAAGGAGGAAAGAAAGTTGTGAGGATGAAGTTGTGAAATAAGGCAGAAAGGGGGGAAGGAAAAAGTGGGCTTGGTTCTGAATTTTACTTTCTTTTGTAGAAATCCAACAACTATGATATAACATGACAAAATGCTATCTGAAACTCTTAATGTAACTATTATTATCATTCTAGTATTGAGCTATTTCAGCTGTAGCTCTTACATATTTAATAAGGTCTTAAAACACCATTAGGTACGCCTTAATGAGTGAATCTCTTCTTTCAGAGTGGATGGTCAAACTGGTCATACTGGTGTAATGTGAAGGCTTATTTCTCTGACTTTGTGCCTACCTGAAAATGTAATGTACGTTAACCCAGCTTAGTGATTTCATTTCTTTGTCTTTGGTTGCACTTGCACTGAGGTTTTTTTTTGTTGTTGTTGTTGTTGTTTTTTTTTCTTTTATTATTTCTTTGTGGCAGATGAAGGATTTTATAAGAGACCATTACAACATCTGGTCTTTCATCCGCTGTGTGAGGAAAAGTCATTGGCTGCCACGTGATCCGAAGATCAGATAATAATAATAGATGTGTGTTGTTAATCTCGAGCATCACTGAAGGTTCACAGCTCAACGAGTACCACAGATTGTTCAAAGAGCCGACAAATATATGATTTTTAAAAGTGAATTAAAAGGAAAAGGTGCTTAAAATGACTGATGATGATGCATTGAAATGGAGTTTAAATGGAAATGAATATGTTGAATGACGTATGCTTCCCCTGTAATGAAGGATTATTTTAGTATTTAGATATTTTAATATCTCACATAATAATTTTAAACAAAGACTTGGAGGTGGGGGGGAATCAGCAATAACTCGGGCATCACGTGCAACATTACTTGACCTGATTTGGAAGTGCAACAGTCCAAACCTGGTCTCATGTAAAGTCCATACAGATGTTTGACAAATACCCCCAAAGCAGATTATGTTGAGACATTTGTTTAGCTGACTTCATGACGTGATGGAATGAATGTGGAGGATGTTTGTCGTTCTGTTTTAGAAAAGCTGTAGAATCTGAGGGATTTTGGGGATATTTAAAATGTTATATGATTTACTCACACACAGACCACACAGATCACTTTTCAAAAGAACCGGAGATAAAAGATTTACTTTTCGTCCAGCAGCGACTAATTAAAGGAAAAGTTGAAACAGTTCCTACTGATTTAACACCAGCTTTCTATATGAGTAAGTGAAAGCAGGGAAAGAAAGGTATTGGGCTATTCAACCCTATTTTAAATAAACAGTGTTTACACCATATTTAAAACAATACACTGGTTCTAGAGCATTAGTCAGGAGTGGTGGTAAATATCTAGGCATGGTTTTGGTGACTTTAGTTAATCTTCATCTGACGCGCTGGATGAATTTCCCCCTGGAGCAGAGCACGTCGTGATGAAGCCAGAACAAGGTAAAGCAGAGCTGAAAGCAGCGCAGGAACAAACAGTTTTAAGGTCTGACAGCAACAGGATGATTGGTGTCAGACCGAGCTCACAGCCAGATCAGATTCACAGAAAAGAACACAACATAAAAGTCACTTGACAAAGTAGGAATAAAGCACAAGAAATATGTATAAACATAAACTCACAGTGTCATCTGTGGTAAGCCGCAGGCTCCTGGAACCTTCAAGCAGGAGGCTTCTCTTGTAATTGAACTAGTCAAGGGACAAATCGTACAAAAATATCTGTCTATTTATACGGGTGAATAAAAGGATGTTTTTTTTTGTACAAAAGGGAAAGGCTATGTTTGAGGTATTTTTAGAATTATTTGTTTTTTTATTTGCTACAAACGACATCTCAGAAAGAAGAATCCAGCATCACACAGAACACAATACAGAAATTGAATTTGAGGAAAGGGTCTTGGTGCATCTTGGTCTTGTACAGAATATTGCATATATCATCAGTGGTTCTCTGCATCCACAGTGCTGTTGGGTTTCTGTCCTGCCAGCTGCTTATCTGCAGTATTATTCCAGGTGTAAATCCATCCCACGGCTGAAATGAAACCCGGCGGCTCTGAGGGGCAGGATTTAAAAGCACGCATCTCTCCACAATCAAGTTCTAAATCTGATTGCTGGGTTCTTTGCATGAGTCAGCAAAACATTTGAATCAGCTTTTAATTTTTGCTGTTTCTCACTGATCAATAACCCATTATATCCCCTTGAACTAACTGCTGTAGAAGCAATGTGAGAAGTCTTTAATCAAGAGCATCTCTGACTTGAAATCCCTTCAGCTGGTGGGAATCTGGTTGTCAGAATCTAAGATTTTTATCTTGACCTGTGGTTAAAGCTAAAGCACTGTCAGCAAGGGCTAGTGATGCTGAGGATTAGGTTTTTTAGTATTCTACTGATGCTGCAGGGATTTGGCAATATTTCAAGCATATTCTGTGACTATTACACAGACAGTTTAGCTTATTGTTTGTCATGTAGATTAGCTGAGTGAGCATGGTGTGGAGACAAAACGCATCCCTGACCCTTCAGAACTCCACCACAATAATATTAACCGGTGAGTCATGACACAGCTTTCGTCTTTTTTTGGTCAGTGAATCCTCTGTCGTTTAACATCCCACAGGGAACTGAAAAATGCTAACAAAGGAAAATACTAAACCGCTCGAGTTCAATCTGGTTCATGTTTTGATATTATTGCACCATAATTACACAACCATGACGCCTATCACAGTTTCTGCACCATAGGACACGCTATCTGTCTATCCTTAAATCTTGTCTTTAACCATCCTTGCAGAAGACAAAACATTAAACCAAACAACCACAACTGTCAGGGGGAACATGTCTATTATTAATTTAGGGTATTTACAGGCAAAATGCTAAGACCCCTGAAAATGCCATTAGTTCTGCAGGTATTTTGTCAAAACCAAATTACACCACAAAATTGAGACTTGATGAAAACCTGGATGAAATATTAAGAATGAATCAAACTTCATCTTGAGGAGAAAAAATTGTGTACCAAGTTTTGTAGCAGTCTGATCAATAATTGCCGGAGATGTTTCACTCAACACCACAAATATCAACCTGCTGGCGTCACAAACACTGCAGTCATATCTGCAGCACTGTCACATCAGTTCAACACCCAAAACATCTCTGATAAATACAACAACTTTAATTGAAACTCAGTGCCAGAATATAAGAACCAGCCTGCGGTCACATAAACACACGCAGATTCATAGTGAGATAATACAGTTTTAGAACATCTTGAAGTCCTGTTTGGATGCACATTCCTATCTCTTGAATTGATACAGCATGAGGTAAGACAAATATATTTTCCAACGCTTGCTCCGTGATCAAAATACAGCTCGACAACATCATACAAACATTTCCCAGGACTTTGTCCTCTGGAAGGCTTTCCTAAACACCAGCCACAGAAAAACACTTTGTCTTCCCTGCCCTGACACCAGGAGGAGGACTGATGACAACAATGTGCCGGTCTATGTCTTTATTTGGGGTTGGAGTGCAGGAGTCTTCACTAGGGGCTGTGTCACACACAGCTCAAGGGCTTAACGCCAGTTTGACTCATCCGTGTTCTGTAAATACAGCGGCCATGTGCTGGCGTGTGCATGTTTAGACTCCTGTTTCACAGGGTTGTATATTGGATTTTAAATGGCCAGGCCACTGTTGCTCCGTACACAACAACTAGTTGAGGCCTAATGTGAGTCTTTCTGCAACATCACAGCTGCGTTCCTGCTCTAAATGAAACTTAACATCCAGTGAGTCAGATTTTATAGACTGGATCATTATTGCACATCAGCAGATACAAACAGCAACTAAGTATTTTATCCAGTGTGTGTTTTAATCTGTAGAAATATACCCACTAGTGTATTTATATCAACTATCTTGGACTGGTATAACACTTAGTTGATGACTTATACTTTAAAAAATCTAAAAAAAATTCAAAAACAAGACAAGTTGTCTTTAAATTCTGCAGAAAATTGTTGAAGTGTACTTCTAAATTTAAAAAAAGAATACATGCTTAACATGTTTCAGGGAGAAAACCCAGCACTTTTGCACAGTAAGCAACCTGTTACTATGCACCTCATATAACAAGCTATGCAAGTCAATGATAAACCAGTCAGAGAGTCTTGCCCCATGCCATAAACTCTGGAGTTAAAGATTAAAAATGACAAACACCAGGGCGCTGCAGCCTCACTGATGTTTCTATGAGGTTACTTCCACATTTTCCTGAAGTGAAAGTGGGTCGTTTTCAAGGTTTTAATTTTCATTAGAAGACATTATCCAGACGACTTCTATTGCACAGGACGCGCAGTTTTACGTAAAAGGCTTTGTGTACTTTCAAGGTCTTTCTGGGAAACGGGCAGGGTGGATTATTAGCAGACAGGACTGCAGCAGTGTTTCTTAATCTTCACCCTGTTTCTGGAAGGTCTCCCTCTGACAAGTAGTCTTTGCTTCTCAAAGCACACAGTGGTCAAGTTAAACGTTTCTACTTAGCATTAAGTCATGAGGCGGGTAAGAAAAGAGAACAGAAAAGGAAAAAACAACTAGAAAACTTGCATGTTTTAACATATTTTTCTCTCCAAATCTAATTGTCCTTATTACAACAGAAAGGATTCCAAACTTTCATGTGTGAATGCTGATATTTTTTCTGCATGACACTGGATTTAAGTTTTGTGGTGTTGGGAAGAATACAACTCACCCCGCTGGCAGATTGGCCACTTGTTTGCGTTAATAATAACAGCACTCTATATTAAGAAAGCTGTCAGGATGGACATTTCCTGTGAGAGGGAGCTCACAGGAGTAGGGAGGCTTCAAAATCTCTTCCTGCTGGGTGCAGCCTGCAGGGGTTGGACACAAGAAAAGCAACACCTGCATCATACAATGCAGTTTAACGCAATAAATACCACTTACAAAGTCCACAAGCAAAACATTACGAGCAGCCAAATTGTGTTCTTTACCACATGGAATCTAAAAAAACAAATGATGGATATGAAAATAAAAAACCTTATCTATTGTAACTATTGATGCCATTCGTGTATTTTATGATTTGCATAGCTATGTCCCTTTCCAGTCCTCACCTCCTTTCGAGAAAGGCCTGAGCAGATGTATTATTATAGATGCATTACTGCCTGTAACTGGTATGGAAACTGTAGTGAATCACGCCATAAGACCCGACAGTGAGGACAGCTGAGAGGATTATCTGGGTCTGCCTCCCCAGGACATCTAGTGAGAGCGTTTACAAAAGGCCTCCAGCATCAAAAAGAGCTGTTTCCACTCCTCTCACTGACCATTTGACTTAGCATTGTCATTATAGAGATACCAAAGTCATTCAAAAACACCGGAATGAACAACGGTGTCTTCCCCAGATTGTCAGGCTTCTGAACACCTCACATCCACTCAACACACGTCTCACAAACACATGCACCAACACTCAATCACTTTTATTTTCGTCTGGATGCTTTAATGTTTAGTCATTTTTTAATCCCTCTTCCTGAAGAAACAACATTTTATTCACACTGTATTTAATAGTAGGAATGACAAGATGAACTTAAACACGTTTTATGACCCTGAGGAAAAACCTTTTGACTTTCAAACTATTAATATGTATTTTAAACCATAAAAGCTCTGGATACACAAATCTTCTCCTTGCCCTGTAACAGGTTTTTCCATCATCAGGAGCACCTTAAGTTCTCCTGTGGA